CATACCAGACATACGTAGACTAAAGGCGTGGATTCCGAGGGGGGGGTACCATTCTATTCTATTCTATTCTATTCTATTCTATTCTATTCTATTATATTATATTATATTCTATTCTATTATATTATATGATATTATATTATATTATATTATATTATATTATCTTATCTTATATTATACTATATTATATTATATTATATTATATTATATTATATTATATTATATTATATTATATTATATTATATTATATTATATTATATTATATTATATTATATTATATATGATCCTGAAGCTTGTGTTCAGGGTGTGGGGTCTGGGATTTGCGGCTTCGGGGCTTCAAGGGTTTGCGGCGGTTCAGGAAGTATGCTGAGGCATAAGGGTGTGGGACTTCCAACCCAACGACTCGCAGCCGTGCGGATCCTTCCGACGGGAATCAGAATATGTTTCTCCCACATCGTTGACAATCGTGGCAATCCTGCATGGTCAATACTCTGAAGAACCCTCGTAGTACGAGTAGGGCATGTCTCGTTTTATCCTGACTCGAGGCTGGGCTTGGGGTTTCTCTGGTTCCGGGTACCGTGCTACTGAACTCCTGAACCCTAAAGTGCTAAACCTTACAGCACCCCCTGAACCTGAACCTGAAAGCCTCATAAGCCTCTAGACCCGAGCTCCTCTACACCCCAACCCTGAACCAGCCCCCCATATCCTTTCGGCCTGAAACCCTTGAAGCACTTTAGGGTTTATGGGTCTGGGGACCTCTGCCAAAAGGAGGGTCCAAGAAGCCTGACATGGCATTGAAGTTGGCTTGGCCCCCGGGGGCTTGGGTTGGGGATTAGGGTTCCAGGTTAAGGATTTGTTGGGGACACCAGTCACTCAGGCATACGATTTTTTGGACCCGCAGCTGCAACGAAGGTGCAGGAGAGGGTGACAAGCCGTATACACATGAAGTGGAAGGTGTTGGGTGCGGCCGTAGGGCTTCAGTGATTTTCGGTATTTGTTCTTTTTCGTGTAACCTGGCTTCGAAAAAGTCATGGGCCCAAGAGGAGTGCAGGTAAGTAACGGCTGGTCTGATGTTTAGGTTAGCTCATGGCCACGGGGACAGAGCTTCTCCGACCTCCGGTGCCACCGCAGAACCTTAGAGCTCGCAAGCTGAGGGTCGAAAGCCCACGCTGGAGGATGAGCAGCACCGGCTTGCCTTGAAGGGGGCTTCGAAGTGGAGCAAACCTCGATTAGGCCCAGGGTTTTTGTTGGGAATTCCGACCTCTCTCAGACCAGAGACCCCAGGTCACGGGAAGCCGCCCACGCTAGCATTGACTCAGAGTCTCGGTGTGCGTGTGGGCACGCATGCATGCCAGCATGCTCTGGCGCATGCCTGGAACGAGGGCAGGCTTTTGCAGGTTCTCCGATCCTTATGCCAGGCACGGCGCTCATGTGGTCGATGCTCAAGCACTACGCCCGAAGCCCAGTACAACAGTGTTTCCGTGACAGCCATGGCACGACGACAACAATTATACAAGTGTGCGATACTGTAGGCCTCAAGAAAGATATTCGCGCTAGTTCCATGAATACAACAACAAACACTCAAAGCGATATTGAAGCTTTGATCAAGCCACAAATGTCGACGGCATTGTCAGCAATGTCAATCGAATGGTAGCCCGCTTTCGAGAGCAGCGTGACCCCAGGGACCACTTTCAAAACCGATAGTACAACCTGTGTGTTTGCGCTGAAGAGCATCGCCGTCAGGAACATCTGTGTCAGCCTAGAACTCTTATGGAACCTTTCAAGATCCATCAGAGAGGCCTTGTTTCTGCAATTTATGCGTTGCTGTGGCTCTTTGCCACGCAAGATTGTTTTCAGGAGCATCGTGCCATCAACAGGAGGACCTATCTGAACCCTTCACAACAAATCATACAGGTCTTGTGTTTGCAAACGGGGAGGAGGGGGGGGGGGCCTGCACCCCACCCAACCCCCTGCTTTTGTTGAGCTCTGCAAGCTTGCTTTAGGGAACATCGTGCCATCAGGACCCTGTCAGAACCCGCATGCAGGCCTTGTGTTTGCAAGTGGTGGCGGCTGTTCCCCCCGCCAGCCCCTGCATTTTAAGCTGTGCGCCCCCCGCAACCCCTGCGCTTTGCAAGGCGTGCAGGCTTGCTTTCAAGAACATCGCGCCATCAAAAAGAAGTGCATCAAGCGCCGAAACTTTGGAAACTTTCAAGGTCCATCATATAGGCATTGTTTCTGCAGTCGTTTTGGAGCTTTAGCCCTGCAAGATTGCTTAAAGGAGCATTTGTCCCATCAAGAGGAGAACATGTCTGAACCTTTTTCAGAACCCATCATATGTTTGTAAAGGGGGTCTGCGCCCGCCCGATTTCCTAAACCCTAAACCCTAAACCCTAAACCCCAAAGAAGCCCCAGGTCTTTATGTGACCATGCGAGGGTCACCCGAAGGCTTCGCAGTCCTGGCCTTGGCATGCTCTTCAGAGTCTGCCTCCGCGAAGATGGCAAAACTTAGTTCCCCAATACCCAACCTTTAAAGTTTTTGGGTTAATATAATTTAGTAGTAATCTGAAAGTTTAGTCTTTTGTTTCCATGGCTTATTGGGGAAGTAAGAAAACCCGAGGAGCCCAGGACTTTTAAACCCGATCCGACCCTCGGCTCCCAAGCCCAGGCCCGGAAGGATCTCGTCATCCGGCGCACACCCACGGTGAAGCTGAAGATGAACATCGAGCCGCTGCCTGATTCTTTGGGCCCTTTGGGGTTGTCATCGAGAGGGCGGTGACAGCCACATGTGAATTGAAGATGATATTCAAGAGCAACGTGTCCTAAACCTTGTGTAGTTTTTGCCGTTCAGCGTATTGAGAAGTGTGTCTACTTCAGGGTGGGGTCTCCTGATGGTCGAAGCTCCTAAGCCTAAGTGTGCAAGATGATTGTGGTATAATTCTTCATTTTCGGACCCCCTTCTTCGGGTGTGTGCAGACTGCCCGACACGAAGCTGAAGACTGGCATGGAGTAATTAGGGTTTTCATCTAGTGCCTGGTGCCCACAACACACCTTGAACGAGTGAAGATATTACATGATTTGAACATCCAGACTTATTCTTGAAAACGCCTGTCATAGTAGTCAAAGTTGTCGGTACGCTTGATTGAGCGTTTCCCATGAAATTCCAGTGGCATCGCATACGCTCTGAGTTCCAGGATCAGTATCGTCGAGTTCAATGGGCCGCAGTTCCAGACGAACTTGGCGATTCTGCTTGGAATTCCACCCGAGCGTATTTCTGTCAGGACCCTACAGCTTGGTCGCATGATGCTGCTGTACGTTTAAATTTTGGCATAATATAGCTGTTCAGATCGTTAGGGTCGCAATTCCACGCCCCTCTGAGGCAGAAACTAAGCCTGAAGATCTTCTGTAGTGTTGTTGCAAGTGTTCCCATGCGAGTTTCTGAGGCTCCCATGGTCGCATGAGCAGTACCCGAATGCTATAGCAACTATGAAGCCAGGACATGTATGACTTCTTCGTGAGATGACGTTCATCCCACGTGCACTTCGCCTTGACGCGACATGCTTCAAGACTGTAAACTCTTGGACACGTCGCCGATCTCCGCAAGCTTGTTACCAGTATAGCAGACAACAGAAGCTAGAAGCGCCGAAGCGCCAGACTCCAATCTCTCGAGGTGGCATCTGTTGCAGCCCGGCGTCGGCTGAAGCCCATGGCCTAGAGAAGTCATTCCGAGCTTCTCTTACGGGAAGAGCACCATCCTCGTATAGCAATGGTCGGTTGTGCCCGAAGCTGCTGAACTGTCAAGTGCGAGGTGCCGAGGTACGGGATGTTACATGATTCTGGATTGAGGGGCCTGAGCTTTCATAGCTCTCAATCCCTACAGGAACGGCCGAATTAAAGCTTCTTCCAGGCTGGTGCAGACCACTGCGGACGACTCTGATGCGTGAGGGCACCCGGTCGCCAGAGCCGTGCAGGATTTGGGGATGAGATCGAGAAAGAGTGGCTTCATAGGCCAAGCATGCGGGGTGCCCATGCATGTGGACAACAGCAAGCTGGATTTGCCAGCATCTTTGTAGTTTCCTATGTGCAGCGTCTGTTGTGGGTAACTAAAACCGACGACCTCGTCCGACAAGCAATCTTCCCAACTTTTGGCTTCTCACTGCCGCGAGGTCAGTGTGCACGGTGGAGGGGATCTGCAAGACGCCAGGTGCAGTCGCCCAGTGATTCGAAGCTTGCAGACAGACAGGCGCAGAAGCTCCGGATCATTGGCTCATCGCACACTTCGCAGCACGAAAGCTCGGAACGGGAAGTCTGTCGGCTCTACGTAAGCTGCAACCAACTACCCGTGCTCCCCCCAACCAAAAGCACGAAATCGTCTGAGTTTAAGCGCCTGACTTCCTGAAACCCTAGCCCTACTTAAAGGATCATGGGACTTAGTAAGTAGGGTTATAACTAAGGTAACTATACTTATAACCCCAATTAGGGGACTTATAACCTTACTTACTAAGTCCCATGATCCTCCAAGTAGCCATGCTACTGCTAGAACATGCTTCAGCCCACCAACACCCCTGACGTACTGCGCGAAGAAGCTTGCACCCTTCCTTGCCCCAATTTCTTTTCAATCCTATTCTTCCTCGCATGTAATACTACTGGCACAAGACAGTTCGGGCCTCGAAAGCCCCCGCAGAACAGGACAAAAGCCTCAAAAGCCCCCATGCACTCAGCGTCGCAGCAGGCCGACGCCTTGCCGCTGTGGACCTCACGGATCTGGACATCTCCATCGAACCTTCCAAGGATGCTGCAGGAGTCTCAAAATGACGCTGTAAAATATCTTTGGTTGTATACTACTGTATACTATATTTATGTCTGTACTAATTATGATACACTACAAATTCAGATCTCATCGGGCCTTGCTCTTCAACTGTGGGTTCGAGGCGGCGTCAAGGGCACCTAAGCCGTAGAAAAGGGGATCCCGGACTGAGCACTTTGCTGTTGCGCCCAGGCCGCAGCAGCTTCTGGTGGAGACGCAGAGAGCCAAGGCTCCAGCAGAGCCCATGCTCTTGGATGTACTACAATGCCCTTAAGCCTTAAGCGTTGGAAGAGGGTTTCGGGGTGCATAGTGGTATAAAAATCTCCGGGAGCTTCGGGCTTATAGGGTTTAGGGTGAAGGCAGAGACGAGCATGTAGTTCTTTCAGGTTTACTACATACACACCAATGCCAATGCTCATGCACTCGCGTGCACATGCATTCTGCATTCGCACCTACGATATCAGATTTTTATACACGCATGCTGTTCGGACAAAGGGCGTGGCACTTTTGAACCCTTGAAGCTGTAGTCGAAACCGCCTCGAACATTTGTGACCTTGCTTCAAGCAGGCCGTCCCTGCACCAAAGCTCTTCGGTAAGCTCCACGCACCGCCAAAGCCTTCGCCATGACATCGAAGGCGCAGAGGCGCTGAACGCACAGGCAGGAGAGCTTGGCGAGGCGCGACGAGCAGATCTTCTGCCTTCGGGGCGGGTAAGTCTTTAGGTTCAGAGAAGTGCAGTACGGGCAGCAAATGATGAGTCAGGACTTCGAGTAGAAATCGTCATCACCAGATGTTGGCAAGGCAAGTCCTAAGCCTCCCTTCCGTCGTCAGCTTGAAGAGCCGGGCTTGGGAGCAGACCTTCGACTTGCAAAGCTACGGAGCGCCTCAAGGAACAATGATTCGTAGCTTTAGTCCTTCTGTAGTAGCCTTGTGGTGTACTGTTCTTCGAAGTCTCAAGGCCCCTATGTCAAGTTCTAGGAAACCCTCCTGACACCCGATAAAGCCCATACACAAACCTTTGAAGCCCCATGAAGCCTCCCAATGCACAAGCCGGTGAAACCCTAAACCCCGGGGCCCCAAACCGCCCCAAACCTGAAAGGCCTTAACCCCTGAAGCCCTAAACCCCTAAACCCTAAACCCCTAAACCCCGAAGCACTTTTCAAATTTCGATCCCCAGGTCTCCTCGAACCTTCAGTCTTTGGCTTCCGGCTCCGAGCTGGCAGCTGCAGCCGGTGGCGAGGCCAAACGTCGGAGAGCCTCTGCCGCTTCTTTGGGGTTCCATAGGGGCACTCTTCTCGGGTTCTTTCAGGGGGGTATTGAACTGGGTGTTCAGGTAAGGTCATACGGTTTTGGGTTGGGGCTTGGGCTGGAGAGGAGTTCAGCTATGCTTCAGATCTTGAGGATGTCTAGTGTGTTGGGTGTCAGGCTTGTTGATTTTCCGGCATACAGCTCTTGGGCATTAAGGAAGGCTTCCTTCTGGAGACCTTGGGAGGTGGGCTTGCGATTTATTGCAAGAGACGGACGACTTCAGACTGTCATTGTAGCAAGCACGAGCTCTGGACGGCTGTGTGTCGGTGGTGGGTTGTGGAGCTTTCTATCTACATTTTCGTGTCAGGTATTTTGTGGCTTTTAGGAGTCCTGGTGCGGCATTTTGGGACAAACCCGCCTCGTTTTGGTGCTTGATCCTTGAATATTTTGAGACTGGAAGTCCACAAAACCCAACGCTGCAGCCTTGTCCACTCAGTCGCTGTGAAAATCGTACAATATATACATATATAGTGTATAAATATATATACATACAAGAGGCTGCACTTGCGGGACTGCCTCTGGCTTTCCTCAATGGTGAACTGGCGCCTTCTTCGCCTTTGCCACGGTGTTGACTGGGTAGCCTATAGCAGTTGGTACGAGACGTGCAGTCATGCTGAAAGGCCTAACCATGAACCGAACCCCCAGTCGAAACCGCAAAATAAGTCATAATAGGAACATGCGAACGTTTGACAGAAGCTCTGAAACCTTACACTCACAGTCTTAAGCAGCTCGCTCTACAAGTGTTTCTCCTATCCCGGAACCCCTGATCCCTAGACTCTGAAACCCTGGGATCCTCAATTCTCACCAAGCTTCTGCAGAGTTTTGCAGGTCACTGTGAGCGACCTCGAAGTTCCCGAGATTCCCGACGAGGCTAAGCGAACGTCGTAGTAGCCAGTCCGGAATAGCAGGGCCCGGCCCAGTACTGCCGACGGAGGGCAGGAAGAATAGGAAGAGTAGGGTTTGGGGTTTTGGGTTTAGGGCTTAGGGGTTTTGGGGTGCAGCACGGCAGCATTGCGCTGCAGCAAGTGGCAATATGTACAGAGCTTGGCATACGCAGACCAATTCAGTATCACCATCGGAGTGAGTGTACATGTATGTCTGTATCTGCCAGACAAGCAAGGCTCAAAATTCTACTTACGTCCCAGGCTTTCGCGATGGATTCAACCGCGAGTTATTAGTCTACATGTACATGTTTCTGCTGCTCGGGCATTTACATGCACATGCACCCACTATGGGTCCCGCTGCTTTGGATATCAGCACTCTGCACCTATGGCACCTTCTCGCAAGTCATGCACCCATCTACATATTCCTGCTGCCATGCGGTACGAGTACACTAGGTCACGAACCCATACGGATTGTAGCTGTCGTCAGTTCACCGAGGGCATTGGCACAGCTGTCTCTTTGTGTTATTGCTGGTGCTGCAGGTGTTAGATAGCAGGTCGACATGGGTTTATGACGATGCCGATGATGATAATGATGATCATGATCATGATGCTGATGATGATGATGACGGTGGTGGTGATGACGACGGAGTTGGCAATGGTGATGATGAAGATGACAAGGCTCGGTGGGAAGGCAGGTGAAGATCGTGATGCTTACGTAGGATGTTGGAAATGTTTCCTGAAGATGTTGGACGTGATGGCGATGGCGAATATGCTCGGCGATGCGAATATGTTCATTCTCAGCATGAACAGCCGTATTAGTCAGTGTTGCCAGTCTGTGGGCGGCGGAACTGATTGTTGGTCCTGTTCCAGGTTTGTTGCTAGTGCTGCTAGTGCTGCACTCAATGTTTCTGTCGATGGTCAAGGAAGCTTTGGATACAACTAGTTTTAATTACACATGTATGGTGCTGTGATGTCGTCCGACCTCATTTTAAGCTGAACAGAGCACCAATGCAATGCAGGCCAACAACGAGGAGGTGCCGAGCGCCGATGAAGTCGCCGAAGTCGAGGCAGCCAGAAGGGGTTCTGCGACGTTGGAAAGGAAGATAGAATCTGCGGAGTTCGGCTTCTTTGGAATGCTTTCGGCGATTGAATTCGATGATTCCCGCGAGCCAGCTCTTGTTGCAAACAGGCAGACAATCAGCTTCTGAATGATACCCTTCAGCCACGGGCCCCCTCCACCCCGGCGTCGCGACCTTCGCGGCATGGGACTTCCGCAATGCTCACTTGTGAGGATTCCTAAGAAATCGAGTTTGGGGTCTGACATCGTCCCACGCTGGTAATCCTCGCCTGGTTCTCTTTCTTGGCATTGATGGTGGCAGAGAACCACCAGCAGTTCGGCTGCAGATGCAGAGCGAGACTTGAGGTTTGTCAGGCGCAGGCTTAGAAGACGTTGTGATTGGTCCAGCAGCTGCTCGTCATTCCATAGTAGCAGTATGGTAGCTACTGCCAGCTCGATGTTCTAGACATGCCTTGTTCAGATCGTGGACGTCACCGCCACGGCTGCCTCGTCTGCCGCTGCAGAGGTGTCAGCCGAGGCCGATGCCGGTAGCCGACCGCCGGTATTTTCAGGCTATTTCTACGTTTCGGGATGCTGAGACCCTGATACTCGGAGCTTTGAACGAGCTTCCTGCTGACTGCCACCCCCCAACATGTTTCAGGAACGATGTGCTCGGTGCGTCCATCCTGGAGAACCATGCATTTGCAGAAAGCTACTGTATCGGTCACACAGGCACAGGTGTACCGCGAAATGACAGTCATGAACACACTGCTGAATGGCAGCTTTTATTCAAAGTTTCAGGCTGGTTGCTCCGCGGCCTTCGGCGTTGCAGCAGTTGCCCGAGAGGGTTGCACAACGCCGCGGCAGTTATCTATTTCGAGTTGCAGCTTAGGAGCTGCCAATAGCTCACATCCTTAGGCTCCAGCATACAAGCATATGGGTGTGCTTGACTGTCTTCAAGGTCACGGTCGGGCTCACCAGCGGCATTGCCTACACTCAGGCCATTGGTGTTGCTTCGCAAGTTCGAAGACAGCTCACACCTGGTTTGCCTCATATAGCTTGTCCCTAAACCCTCAACCCTGAATTCCACTCATAGTGCCACGTTTCGTCTAGGCAGATCTGGAACACGAGGGAACTTCCACGGCGCCAAGGGCCCAGCCGTCCAGCTGTTGAGTGGATGATTGACGGTTTGGCTCTCTGGGGGCTTGAAGCTGTGATGGGTCTTCTGCAGCTCATGGCCGCAAACTCTCCCAGGATGTGCAGCAGCATCAACGCGGGCTACTCTGGCGATATTGCACTTTCGTGCTGAGCTGAGAAGATCTACCCCAAGTAGCAGCGTGGATGTCGAGCAGTTCGCGGTGGTTGTCTTCGTGCCAAAACAAACAAAACTCTGCAGCATTCAAGCGGAACCTCATTATGACGATTGACACACACAGGCTTTACCCATCTTTATCCAAAATGTATGAATCAAGGTGCTAGCTCGAACTCGTACAGGTGGATCACTGCAGCCGGTATTGCTGTCGCTCCTACTAATTACTGAGCTTCCAGTCCTCCAGCGACGACGACGACGACGGTCACCACCACCGCCACCACCAGCAGCACTGGCACCAGCACCACCGCCGCCTCCCCACCACCACCAAGCTGCTGGCCACAGCATCAACAACGACAAACAGAGGGAACCCCGGTCATCCCCATCACCAGCGTCGCTGCCCCTAGTTGATGAAGCTGAGGGTGATGATGACCTACACCATGTCAATGGCTTGCGATGGCGATGGTTTGGTGTTGTGCTGGTTGCTTTGGGCATGTGGCTCTTGTTGTTTTAGGGTGCTTGTTTAGTGCTGGATTCTTGTTGTCCTGCTTGTGCCCCAATGCCGGCGTCAGGTGCGTCGCCGGCGTCCTGAAGGGCAACGTGGCGGCTTGCCAGCCGCACACCTGCAAATGGTGTTCAGGTTCAGGAAGTTGCACCGACTGCCGTAGTTTGGAAATTTCCGTGCCCAATGTCATCCAGCATTGCCATCGTAAGATAGCAGATCTGGAAGGAAGGGAGGTGGGCTTAACGGACGAAAGAGTTTACTACCAAGAGAGAAGGGCCCAGAAAGCCATGAACTACCCTTGCCGACTTCCGGGTGGCCGACCCGCGGCTCCCGGCGGTCGCTCCTGGCCCATAAAATCTAAACTACCTCGTTTGCCCGTCCTTCAATGTAACACACCAGGAACCCAAACCCCTGGGACCGTAAATCAAATCCCATACAAACCCCGAAAGCCTTAACGACCCGAAACCCTAAACCCCAAACCCTGACCCGACCCGACGAGCCTACGAAACTTGAACTCTCCGCGACAGCAAGACAAAGAGACGACCAGCTGAGGCCCGTGGGTTGCGCCGATCCCGTGGACGTGACGGCCGGGCATGGAATGCCTTTACAATGTGTTTGGGAGTTCTGTCAGGCTTTGGAGTTTAGGGTTTACGAGGATGTAGGGCAGTTCCCGCCGTTCAAGGCGATGGGGTTTAAGAAGGCTTCAGGCTCCCCAACCTCGTGCGGGTCTCCAATGCGACCTGCTCGGCCTCTTCCTGGAAGTAAGCGCCTTTCCATCGCAGGTGGGAACAGCTACGGCGTCTGTTAGCCCACCGGCTAACATGGCCTCCGGCATTGTCTCCTCAGTGGCCGGTACCTCAGCGCCGGGGAAAGCTGCGAACATGCGCCGGATCAAGGCGCCTCATGGGAGGCCCGTCCCCGTCGTTCTGATCTTGTCCTCACAACAACAGTTGTTGCAGTAGCTCTGTAGTTTCTGCAGAGACCCTAGGGTTCACTCGCAAAGTATAGCAATGGCAATGGATGAGCACTCTGAAGTGTGAGAGTGGTGTAGGCATTCCAGTAGTAGCACTAGTAGCAAAGGAGCACTGTGTGCGTATCACTAGCGATCATCATTGCCCTTCTCTCTGCGCCCTCAAACCACGGTCGCTTGAGGAGTGCAGCACCGTGAACTCCTCGTACACCGGCAACTTCGAGCTGAGCTGCTCTATGGGAACCCTCTCCTACGATGTCTCGTGGGGGACCCTGCGCGTGCAGGATGTTCATACGACCGGGGGTGGAACCTGCAATTTAGTCTACGAGTGTAGCATAGTAGTGGTAGTAACTGTCGTCGTAGTAGCAGCAGGAGGAGGAGGAGCAGGAAGCAGTCTCAGTGGCAAGTGGACCTGCGAGCTTCAAGATGTCAGCTGCAGCCAAGGACCTGCAGTCCCGGTTGTGCCCCCGAGCAGAGCCTGCTTCTGAGATTCTGAGACTCATCGTTTCCATCTCGTTACTCGTTGTCGTTCTCACTATGATGGTGGGTATTTTCAGTACTATGACTGAATCATTAGCGTCATGGATGTTTTGTCCTGTCAGCAGCCTTATCGCTTATTGTTGACATGTTTGCTTCTAGTCGTTTTCATATCGCATTGTAGTAGCTTGTCTAGGTTGCTGTCAACATGCGGCAGCAGCTTTCACCCAGAAAACCTAATTAAGCTCACATGTTCGAGGGCCTTCTTGGAAATCGTTTGAGAACGCAGCTTTGCTTGTCGAGTCAGTACTTGCACCTTTGTATTCGTGGTGGGTTTTCAGATTCGAGAGCGCGTCCGTCACTCAGTCCCGAATCCTCAGCCCCAACAAGAGAAGGCCGAACCCGTAATCGCTGATCTCGATCTATGTCTGACACTTTGCAAAATTCTCGATGCATGTACTTACATGTAACGTAGTAGGTACAGCATATACATCTATGTATTCTCATACACATCTATTTCGTGCAATTGTAAGTGCAAGTGTGTACATACCGACAGCCCCACCGCCTCCAGACCGAAACCTCGCATCCCAGAACCTGAGGCGTGGCCATCACGGTTGCAGGGACATCAGTGCAATGGAGCCGCAGCCCAAGAACCGCTACAGAACTGCTCTTAACATCAGACAGTATCAAAAGACGGATCCCAGTGTTTTGAGAGTCTAAGGATTTCAGATTTCACGGCTGAACACGCGTCAGGTTTATTTCGTCAACACTGCCAACACTTCACGCTAGTCTTGTCTCAAAGTCCCTAGGTCGGTGAGTCTTAGAGTTGCACACTAAGTGCGGTGCGACATGAGGTTACACAAGAATGCGCGAAAATCAAGTGTCATCCTACCGAATCGGAATGTGCGGATAGTATTCCAATCGCAATCCGTCGCTATTGCTTCTTTGTGGTATGACGATGGTTACGACGATTGTTTTGATAATTGCTGTTTGTCTTACCCTCGTTTGTGTGGTTACGGGTAGTGCTAGAACTAGCATCATGACCAAGCTTGCATGAGGTTGCAGGTGCATGTGTGCAATGCTGCTGCGTTTAACGTGAACACTGTTCAGACACGGATGTTGACACATGTTCTCGACATATTCGTAATGCTAAACAAGCATGAATGTCAATGCAACCCGCGAAGGACCTGTCATGCGGACGGGTGAAAGCAACTCTCGGAAAATAAATTTCTCAAGATGTTTAGTAATGTACCGTACACCCTACAAATCACCAAGTCTGCTATGCGGGTAGGACCGGGCAGGAAGAGCCAGATCTTTGCATGTTGACCTGTGGCTTTCAGCAGTCTTGGCGATCTTCACGTCCGTGGAGGGCTTGTCAACTGCCGTCGTTGACCATGCGGCATCCACTTAGGCCTCATTAGAAGAAGAAGGTGGAACACTGGAGCAAGAGATGAAAGTTCCCTTTCTACGTAGACATTTCTGGATGCCAGGGGCCAGAAAACTGCCCCTTCTTTGCAACGCACCAGCCCTTGCGAGATGATACCATGTGGGCCATGTAACCGAACCCACCACGGCAAGTCACCAACTCCAGCCTTTCCGGCCTCACCCTCGAGCTCCGAGCTTTCTGCACTTCCCTGCCATGGTGGAAGAGCAGCTTAAACAAGCCGAGGCTTTCAAGGAGCTCTTCGGGGCGAGCCGTTTCAGAAATCGGGCTAGGCAGCTAGAGCCATAGGGCCAGGGGTTGGCTGATGATTTGTGATTTGTGAGTTCATGAATCTGCACGCAGGAGGAAGGAAATCGCTTCCACAAAGAAGGCCTGATGCCAAGCGAACACGGGAGTTCTGTGCATGAGCGGGGAGATCCCCATGTCAAGGCAACTACAAGCGTGCCCTGGGAGCGTACCACAAGGCAGGACAAAGCGATTCAAGGCTTTCGGAGAAGGGTGAAGACTTTGAGGTCTCCGTGGTCTGTGTAGAACCGTAGAACATGAAACACTGCTTTGCCAGAGGTGTTTTGCTTCGTGAACGGCTTGGTGCCACCGCCTGCGGGTCAAAAGGACGCCTCGCAGGACGCGTCTGCTTGTCTTCCCCGGTGTTTGCCCAAACCCCTCTGACTGAAGCCCGGGTTGAACCCTCATCTTCACGACAGTCATGACAGTTGCAATGCTCTGCCATTGAGGCACTATCGTATATACGGCTACCCATGCAGTGCGTTTCGATACGTGGTCTGGCAACCACAATCAACCACATGTCTGAATTATCATACATAGGTAATCTGTATGTATGCATGCATGCATTTATCTACGTACGTATGTATCCAGATGATCAGCTAGTCAGCTTACATGTAATTCACATTAATTCACAACAGTATTGACTACACCGTACATAGGAAGCATCTAGCAATTGAGAACGGCATACCGACGGTAGTGCCATGTACTGAGAAGCTGTGCCGCAGGATCCCGGCGGCCCTGGCAGCAACCAGATTCCCCATGACCGCGTGGAGGACCTCAAGAAGCTGAGTTTGGGCTAACACCAGGGGAGTGAGGGTGTCCTGGGCAGGGGTCCTTTCGTGAGAGATGCCTGCACTAAGGATGAAGCTCGGGTAGGGTGAGAGTACGAGACAAGTGCATGCCTGGGTTTTCAAGTCTAACCCGAAGCCCAGAGCTTGAGGAAAGTACCTTGACAAGGCATGTTTGTTTTGTCGTGCTGCAGCCTGACGTGTCTGACGATGTTTGGTGCAGTGCGTGATTCATGTTTGTGTTGTTCGGGTTGATGTGCTGCAGAGGTATGTAGATCACAACGAGCATAACTGTTTACAAGCCATGAGACCGGAATGCATCAGCCAAGGAAGCAAGCTACCCGACTGAATATGGCAGTTGCCCGGCAGCAGTGGATCCGCCACGAGCCAGTCGCCACGCCTTCTGTTCGTTTTTCGAGCTCAACCATCTGATGCCGTCTTTCTCCGGCGTCCTTGAAAACCCCTCAGCCCTGAAGCGGTTTCCGAGCAGTGCACGGTTTGGCGCTGCCAGCGCACTGCCCTTATCCACGGCACCAGAAGTGAACGCAGACGCCGCCGAGGCCTGCTACCTGAAACTTGGAGACTTCCACAAGTGCGTCGAAGCCTGCACTGCAGCGCTCGACTTTGGTGCCCACACGAAGGCAAACTGAACATTCCCTGAGTTTGGAGTTTAGGGTTTTAGATTCGCAAAATCTGCCGATTGCAAACCTGGGCAACAGCAAAAATGGGCTTTCGGATCGTTTTGATTCACCGGTACGGCTTCGTCCCAAAACCCTAACAGCTCAGATGGTCGTCTCACTGCAAGGCTGTCTACGAGCATCCTTCTTAAGTGCCACAATTCTTCTCGAGTCCCAGAGCAATTCGAAAGTCTGCAACCCATTTCTGGAGTCTTTAGACCCTACACCGGGAACGCATCCCGAAGAGCTCTCTGTTCAAAACCCTCCACCCCAAGCCCGAAATCCCGGAGCCCCAAACTCTCAGGCGACCTAACCCTAAACCCTAAACCCTCATCTCAAGAGTCTAAACCTGCACGAAGTCCCAAGACCCAAAGCCCGGGATCGAATTAAGCCCCAGCAAACCGCATGGGAGGCGTACTTCCGACGGGCACAAGCCTACGTGGAGCTCAGAAACTTGAGCTTCTTCGGCGGCGGAGTTGGGATTCAGGGTTTGAGCTTTATAGGGTTTAGGGCTTCAGGGGCTGAGGGTTCAGGAGCGATATTTGGCAGGGGTTCTTTGAGCTAGACGGTGCCTTATTAGAGATCTTTCTAGCAAGGAATCCCTAAACCCTAAACCACGACTGCAGACACCCCCTAAGGCCCTTCAAAAAACCAAACCTGCTTGTAAGAGAGGAAGGATTCTCTTCTTTAGCAAAAGTTTCAATCCAGGGGTGCCTTCGATCAGGGAGCCTCCATCCTGAGTCCCACAAGTAAGGCAGCCTACCGCAGACCCTTGATACTATAGCATACCACACGTAAATATACCATCATGTGCCATAAGATACTATAATAAACTACAAGATACCACGACCTGTTATCATATACTGTATGCTAGATACTATGCTATAATATACGATAAAGCCAAGCTCGACCTCTGACCCCGCCTTGAAGCCCTCATGCCCTAAAACTCTAGCTCCTAAGCGCATCTAAACCTTGCAAGCGCTAAAGACTAGACAATGCCTTGTTTAGGCATCTTTTTAGCGCGGATCCTACTGTTTAGGATGCTGGCAAACCTCACAAGGCGACGCGGAGGCAGACCTTGGTAAGGCGCGGTCTCTGGCGCCTGAGGACGCCGGCGTCCTCGCGCTGCTGCCGCCTGGGCCAGGAACGCGGTGGAGTATAGGGTTGAGGGCCCTAAACCCCAAACCTAAGTGTATCGAGTTTTGAGCTTCGGCTTTGTTAAAGAGGTAGGTTTAAATTGTGTTTCAGTACGGTCTCAGGTTTGGGCATGCATGATGGTTCTGGAACCCGGCGGAATGAGAGAGTTTCGGGTTGTTGGGGGCGTGCTTTCAATGTGTCTTCTGGGCTTCTGTGAAGGCTTTGTTTCGTTGGTGCTGTGACATCGGCCGTGCACATAGGAAATCGGAGCAAGTAACACAAATGTCAGCAATGATTTAGACGGTCCGTCCGGCCTTACTTAAGTATCCTGCACCACCCTAGCGTATCGAATTCGCATATCGGTGGTTTGTTTAATACTAAGACTAGTACTGCAACTGATAGATTAGAAGTGGTAGCACAAATCAATCCCATGAGCGGCATGTGTGGTTGCAGCTTGCTGTAGGACTCAGGTTTGCCACCCCAAACCAAAGGTGCGTCGAAACAGCACATACCTTCCTGCGCCAACTACTAGATGAAGAGGATGAGACCTTGATTCTCAGACTTCTGCGCGTCTTGTCGTGCCAACCCAGGCGCCAAGTCCGCCGAAGCATGAAGCAGGGCGACGCGGAAGATCGCCAACGTTCCCTATTTGCAGCTATGTTTACTCAACAGCCACACCTACTGACTTATGCCCGAAAGGATCAGAGGTGCAGGGTCTTGCGCAGATGTTTCGCTAGCGACGGGCGTGCTTGCCATGTGGTCTGCAAGTGCTGTGTAAGGGTCCACGTTCTAGCGATATTCGCGGGAACAAGGTAGAAGTCACCACGATCCTGCAACAGGTTGCCACTGCTAGCACATTCCGTACAGTTCTAGCCTGCGTGCATGGATCCGCGAGTCCAAGCCTGTACCTGTATCTCATATCAGCACGTGGCTCCTGTCAAGTGTAGAGAGTCGTCTATTTCCGGTACAAGTGGAAACCCGAAGCAAGACCTGTAAAGCTTGAACAGAGAATATGGCTTCTCCACACACTGTACATCGGACTGCTGCGAGCTGACGCCACTTACCTGCACAATCGCCCCAGTGTGCCGATGCACTTGGGCTCGGTGGTGCCACCTTTGCATCCTGGCCAGCAGTGCCGTACCGCAAGATGCCAGTGCCTCAAATAGCACCACAGTGGCAGCCGCAAGCGACGACAGCTTTCGGGGCGATCCCCTTTCCTGTGATCCGGCCAGTCCCCCTGATCATCCAGCCGCCACAGATTGGAATGAACATCACGAGTCAGCCATCAACAGTGGCAGATGCGTTCA